AACAACTTTCTAGTTGACGACACCTTCATCGGAGAAACACAACCGCTGATAGAGGGCTCCAAAGTTCACTATGCCAGAGACCACAATTTCAATATCAAAATAAGAATTTAAAAACAAAACAAAACAAAACAAAATCTAAATCCAAATTAGAAGAAATCCAAAAACATCTCACCTAAAGCAAGGGGAATATAGGTATTTTAGATACTAAGTAAACTAATAAACTTGCCAATTGGCCAATTTTGGATTTGTTTTTTTAGTTTCTTTATGGTAGTAGTGGCCTAAATGTGTTTGGTTATAAATTTGTAAAAGAAAAAACCCATGTCCCAGGATCCTGACCCTTAGAAGGTCCAGAAAACAATTCAACAGTGGCATGTGACCTGGAAAAAAATAATTAAATTCAAAGTGTGTAACCAGATACTGCAACCATAAACTTCCTTTTATTGCCTCATAACATCTAATATTTCTTTCTTGAACAGTAATTCTGGGAGAGAAAATTCTCAAATACGAAAGATAATAAACAAAAAGCCTCCTCAAACACCCAACCTCATGTGAACCATAAACTTGATTGTGCAACTATTCAAATTTCAGCAGTATGTACAAGCTAGGTGTATTGACCTTATATGCCATCACCACCCTGACAAAACATTAACATACTAAAAGTTTCATCGTTACCGAGACAAAGATTACAGTTTTCTAAAGATACTGATAATGCCAGTAGCAAATGACTTCATATTCCCCCATAGAGTTGATTTACTTGAAGGCTCTGCATCTTCAGCCTGCCTACCAGGAAGGTCTCTGCAAAATGAATAATTGTGTATAACATCTTACGCAGAAGAATATATGGGTCCAAAAAATAAAGAAATGATGGGATACTTTTAGGTGAAATAAAAGAATTCAAGACATGCCCATAGAACATAAAGCTAAGTAGATTAGACATATTTCAGATGGGATTAGCCTATTAAGGCTTCAACTACATATGATTCTTGTATAATGACCCTTCGCCATGGCAAACAAATGTGACAAGGCAATAACTAGGTTAATTGGTTTTCTAACTATTGACTCACCCACAATCCAAGGCTGGTGGTTGAGCGGTTCATTAACATCCTCCAACCAGAGTAGAAGAGGTAAGATACCAAAGTAAGATTTGAGTTACTAAACTTAACTGCTGCCTGATGCACAAGGAATACAGCCAGAGCCTCAGAGACCAAACTAGAACTCATTCAAATAGACCCACCTAATCCAAAAATGAAGACCAATCCAGAAGAATCATATTCAGAAAATACAATCCTGTCATGCCAACTCCTCTTCTCTATCTTCAGAGAACCCTTTGTTCTTCTCCCACCAAACCACCCAAGTAGATGCCAAACAGCACAGTTCCTAACCGTGACATATATCTTCAAAAGATACAAAGAGAACACCATTGCAAATTAATTTGTCTGGGATCTTGACATCAAGCTATTCACACCACCTTTCAAACTGAGAGAGAGAGAGAGACAGAGACAGAGACAAAGAGACAGAGACAGAGACAGAGACAGACAGAGAGGCAGAGACAGAGACAGAGAGACAGAGAGACAGAGAGAGTGCAACTGCAAATCAATTTGCTGGATATCTTAATATCAAGCCATTCACCTTTATCTTGGATAAACAAACAAGAAACCAAATCATATTATTCTGTACATTCTTGGTGGATTGCTTGCCCGTGTTACTCTACAGTTTCTCTTGAGAAATAAAAATTTCATCTTTACGTTTTTAAAAAAAAACAGTAATCTTCCAGTAGACACATGTATGAGCAAAAGGAGAAAAAGAGGGCCACAAGGTATAAAAAATAAAAATAAAAACAGAATAGTGACCCCCACTAGTAGTATCAATAGAGAAGATGTTAAAAGGTAATCTGGGGTCATAACTCAGAAGCACAGACCCACAAGAATAAATTCCATTTCACACATTAATTGCACATGAATGAGCAGCGCACAGTAGTCAGTTCAGAAGAATAGTTCAGGCGTGATCTTTGAGCTCAGATTGTAGACAGTCAATTTCAGTTATTTTCTTCACACATTAATTGAACATGAATCAGAAGCACGCTGAGTTCAGAAGAATAGTTGATTGTAGCACTTCAACTATTACCATATGCATGACAATCTAAGCTAATCATGGTATGAGAACCCAGGATGGGCCAGTTCTGTTTAGTTGTGTAGGATCAAGCAGGCACATTCAACTTTGTACTTACAATTTTAACCACTCATCTTTGCATTGGACATTTTACTATTGCGCACTCATTGACTGCCGAAACTTAAACAAAGTGCGAAGTCATTTGCTTATAAATATAGTAAAGTTATAGAATAGTAAGCTGAAAAGGAAGGGTTTGAGCAAATGGTTTCAAGGTCTTTCCTAGCATGTTAAATGGGTCCAAAAAGTTAAGAATGGCGGAACTGGGGACTAGAGTAGATGAATACAAAAAAATTTGTGTTGATTATGGTTCCAATTAATAAAGAAGCCAAATCCATAAACTAATGATGCACCTATCTCCAACGTTTTATCTTTCTGTCTGTGGTGCCAGCCTCCACAGCTTAGTGTGTCCAATACCATGTTTTAGCTCTATAGCAGCAAGCATACAACAAATGTCTATGATTTTCATGTGAGCACATCTTAGGGGCAAAAATACATCATCACATTGCTTGTGGAATAACAGCAGGTACTGCAATGTCAATGATAATGACATTACTAAGTTAATAACATACTGTACAAAAGAAACTTACTTGGGAAGTTTGTCTGGCTGAGGGATCTCTTCATATTTCTCTCTTTTACACTTTAAATCATCATAATATGGTAGATCTTCTAAGGCATGTTCTTGTTTTTTCATATCCTGTGTATCACCAAAACTTGGAGGAGAGGCTCTATTAGCTTCCCCTATTGGCAGATCTTGTTCTTTTGCAACAAAATCTTGTTTGTCAGCTTCAGCTTCCGCTCTTTCACTATTCTCAGATTTGCCAAATGGATGAGAAACAACCTCAAATCTTTCTTCTTGACGTTCTTTAGAAATAGAATCAGAAAGATTCTGCTTAGCTTCCTCCTTACCATTACCAAGTTTATCAAGGTCTTTATAAGAAGATTCCACAGAATCCACTTTCAGCAAATTACTTTGTGTTACAACAAGATCAGAATCACTTCCCTGCAAAAAAAAAACACAAAAGATATAACTATAAGTTTACTAATATGGAACATCTTCCACGCATCGGAGAAGCAAAAGAAATTTATTTATGGTATAAACATGATATTCGACATACATGAAAATTTTAAAAGAATCAGTGAGCCAAGGTTTAATGAAGAATCTAGCCATGCACCTCAAATTCAAAGAACTTGTGTGGATAAGGGTCAATTCGATATCATAACACATTAGGACAATAATACAGACAAGAAGAAGAAAATAATGCTTAATATAAAATTCATGCAAGAACATGAAGAAGAATCAGGATGCAACATTTTTGTATGCTTCTACAAAGGTTATAATGCATAAGCATAAGTTATTAAAAGTTTACTACAGTACTGTAGCCTTAGTCTTGCATTAAGTTGAAATTTAAAAGAAGAAAAAAAATAATATAGTGTTATTGATATAGGACTTCATATACTAGGACAAAAATATGAGTGGTAAGAAACCAAGCCAAGTGATTCACATTAGGCTCCAGACAGACGCCATTTAAACCTCGTTGAACACAAGCCATGTGCAAATTTCAATTTTTTTTAAAATCCAAATAGGATATTATTGGAATCATACCATACCTGAACAATGGAAATATAAAGAATAAAACCAAAATTTGATTAATGCCATATACTTACTTGAGTGGTAACCTCTTCAGACAAGATCTCAACTGAGGAGGAAGCATGTGCCTCTTCATTGGCTTCTAAATGCCTGCCACTGGCATCTGCTGACACCCCATAGGTTGAATTATCTTCAACTCCAGTCAGAGATTCAATTTCTCCAACTTCTTCTTGTCCTGGAAGATCAGTATCATATGCCTCTTCAGAATCATTTTGAACACCCGCATCTGCGGACACCTCAGAGATTGAATTCTCTTCACCTTGAGTCAAAGATTCAATTTCACCAACATCCTCTTGTCCTGGCAGATCAGCATCATATGTCGCCTCAGAATCAGTTTGAGTGCTGGCATGTGCTGACACCTGACTGTTTGAGTTCTCTTCAACTTGAGCCAAAGATTCAATTTCTCTAACTTCTTCTTGTTTTGGCATATCAACAGTTACGGGAGACCAGGGAGACATCTTAGCTTTGTATTGTAACTCCTGAAGGATGCTCTTGACCACATAGTAAGAGCCACCCAGTTCTTTCTTAGCACATGAAACAGTAGGGAATGCCCCAGCATTCATTGCTCTGTACCTGAAAATAATGACCAAAGTACCTTCACTTAAATCCCTAATGATAGAAACCCAAAATGAAATTGCAACATTCTACAGCTTATTCAATTTCACCAAATTAATCAAAGCTCAAATTCATGACAAAACTCTCTAAACAACAAATGTCCATAAAAACAATCAAGATCAGCATTTCAAAGGAACAATCAAGATCAAACACTACAATATTCATATAATATACTTACTTGTTGACAAAGGGTTCAAGCATAGTTTGGCGCTCTGCTTTAGAAAGTCTTTTCCCTTTAACTCTGCGGACATTTGGGTTTGGTGCTTCTGCCACTGCTTCTGCTTCTGCTTCTGCCTCTGCCTCTGCATCTGCCTCTGCAGCTGCAGCGTTAGCGTTACCAGCGTACGGCCTTCCACGCCACCCACTCAATAAAACTGCCAAAACCCAAAAAGAAAGAAATACAAATAATCTTAATCACGCCATATTTTTCACGTACTCTTTCAAAAAATTATATATATGTGTGTTAATTAAGAGAAAAGAAATTACCCGATTTGTTCAGGTGCTTGTGGGAGTTGGAGGAAAAAGTGAGGCTTCTTCGTAACATGCTCTGTGGCGGTGCATGCCCTATCTCTACAAGGCTACAAGTACATCCATGGAAAGTAGGATTTCCATGTCGCTCTGTCTGATTGTCTAAAGCCTTTGATTTTCTCTGAAAGACAAGAGGAAAGAGAAGAGAACTCAGAGTAGCGAAGGGTTTTAGGATGTTTTTGTTTTGGGGGTCTCAACAAAGTTCAAAAGAGACGAGTACAAGAGGGGCTTCGGCTGTAACCAAGAGCCTTTCAAGTTTGAATTCGTCCATAAGGCCCATACTTTGGAAGGGTTATTTTGAACCTTTTCTTTGCTCTATGAACCCAACTTTGTAATGAATTTTACCTTTTTTTTTTCCTCAACTAAAATAAAATCTGATTGTTTGGGAGTAATTTCACCATATAATCACTTTGGCTTATTTAAAGTAATGCCTCTCAAAATTCCAGTCAAAGCTCACTTTGCCTCACCAAACTTCAAATAGCCCATTTTTTCCCCTTTAACAAGGGAGTTTGGATCCACTGTCCCCAAATTGGTGTTCCCTCTATGTACCCTTTATGAAATCTTGACATATGTCCCTCAATTGAACAGAACTTAAACCCTGCATAAGGGCAGTTCCAGCAACAACGGCTAGGAGGGGGCGCTAAGGGGGTTTAGGCCCAAAAACGTTTCTAGCAACAAGGGCTGGGGGGGCAGCTACTGGGGCCCACGAAACCAGGCCAGCCCTCAGGCAAGATGAGCCCTAATTCAAGCTCGGGTTTGCTGACGTCAGCAACAACAACAAAAAATTAAAAATAAAAAAAATCTTCAAATCATGTTATCCATCTCTAGTACCACAGCCATTCACCTTATCATCTGTGCATCTCATCGTTCTTCCTTACTTTAGTACTTTTCTGATCTATTTTCCATTTGATTCTCAAAGTTGTGGCCAAATCTAAAGAAAAAGTTGTTATATTGATTAAAAAAACTCAATTATTCAAAGGCAAAATTCTCTCTCAAGCTTGGCCAATTTTGTTTTACTTTATTTGTTATGTTATATAATTGATATTTTTAATGTTTTAAATTATATAAAGGTAAGTAATTTTTTTTATTAATTTTTGGTCCATACTAGAGGTGGGTTCCACCTTACCTCATCATCAAGATTGGTGGATAATGTTTCATGTGTACGAAGTTACAAAAACACTATTGTCACGTCATCGAAATTAACATACTTATGGTTGGAGTTGACGGTACGGGGCAAAAAGGAACATCAAACCTTGGTCAATGTGGGCCATTTGAAGTTTCAGGGGGCATTCTTAAGTACTTCTTGGTCATATAAGTGCTCTTTGGAGAAGCATGTGATATGTGCTTCTTCAAGAAGCACTCCCAAATGCTTTTTCAAAAAGCACTCTCAAGTGCTTTCTTATGAAAATTTTAACATTTTTATAATAAAAGCACTTTTACTAGAACCACTTATGAGGAGAAGTGTTTCCTAGAGAAGCAGTCTCAAACGAATCCTAAGAGATTATGGGAAGAATTTGTTTGTGATAATATGTTAGGTGTGTGAAGCTTCATGGGGATGTGATTCAATGTGGTTGTGCATTTGATTTGTTTGGGGTAGGGGCAGGCTTAGGTGGCTGAGATGGTGGTTGGGTTAGGTTAAAGGGATGTGGTGGCTGGCCAGAGTTGGGCAATCGGGTTGGGAGGAGAAAGGGAGAGAGAGGTTTTATTTTAATTTTAAATTTTAAATTTAAATTGTTTATTTTAAAAAGGAATGAATTTTTTAAATAATTTGTAGACCGAAATGTCCTCAATAAGTAACAGCAATTAGAAGAACTTAGCAAAAATTGGGCAATGTCCTCAAATTGCTTGGAGTTGAAAACTACAGGGGCAAAAGTGACCAAATTGAAACCACATGAACCTTAGTGGTGAAAGTGGTCAACCACATGGACCAAAAATGATTTTTTGCCATTACCTATTATGAAGGTATTCTATCTATTGTTCCATTTATTTAGAGGGGATATTCTCTCTAGAGCACTGAGCTACTTTAATTGGCTCTAGAATAAGGAATTTTGAGTTTTTCCCCTCACGTCGTTTTTAGTTATGGATTATGACTAATTTAGTACTATGGGCCCGACATCTACTGGATGTCGGACATACATTGTGCTTCTCACAAGATCTACACAAAGACACTAGGTCTTGCCATTGCGTTGGGCATGCCCTATCTTAAATAAGCTAAGCACAAGCCCTACCTAAAGGCAAAGAATTTTTGGGTATAATTAGTTGGCCAATGGGCTAGGCCTATGTTGTCCTATTATATTTATAAGTACAAGAGATGGTTTATAGGGGGTTTCTCACACACACACAACTAAGATGTCATGGGGGTTCGAACTTGAAACCTCTGGTATGCAAATCAATGCCACTTTCAATTGGGCTAGACCCCGTTGGCAATGTTCCTATCATTTTATAATCATAATAAAGTTAAACTTTTTTTTTTTTTATCGAAGAGAAACTTGATTAGACTTCAAAAAATACAAGTAAACACATGAACATGATATATAAAATATGTTGAAGAATATAAGTCCCACATCGGAAATTTGACTAAATAAAATATAAGATATAATGAATGGTTCCGCTACTAATATCATCGAGGTCTTTTGTAATAAAACCTCACACCTATTGGGCTTTGTAAATGGTTAAGTTGGGTACAATATCGGTGTTGCTAGTAGTGGGCCGCTGACTCGTCTCTCTGAAATTTAACATGGTATCAGAGCGGGTTGAATGGCTGGGCCTGAAATATTGGGCATTTACCCTTACACCTTATCCAATATGTGATGGTCACATGTTGGGCTTCAATATTTACCCTTACGTCTTACCCAATACGTGGTGTTCACATGTTGGGCTTGAATGTTTGACTCCGATATGGACTTAACCACACGTGTGGCCCACTATATGGTGGTTCTATGTGAAGAGGTGTGTTGAAGAATATAAGTCCCACATCGGAAACTAGACTAAATAAAATATAATATATAATTAATGGTTCCGATAATAAAATCACCGAGGCCTTTTGTGGTAAAACCCCACACCTATTGGGCTTTGTAGGTGGTTAAGTTGGGGACAATATCGGTGTTGCTGGTAGTGGGCCGCTGACCCGTCTCTCTGAAATTTACAAAACACCAATGATAAAAGTAGACAAAACCAGAACTAAAACTACTGACCCACGTTCACCACTTATTATACTGAGAATTCATTTTATTATTCACTTTATTATGCAAGTAAATTACAATGTAAAACTAAGATTGAATGAAAGATTTCTTTGTATCAGAAAGGAATAAAAATACAAGCTTATCCTTACAGATTATAGAAAATGCACTGAAATGAGATCATATATATGTAAGCATGACTTGGTCAAGAGTGACACCTGATCCTTCTTTATATTAAACAAACAATAGTCTATATTTATGATCAAATTATTTACAATAAATCAGCACTAGTATGACCCCATTTTTTATTATAAAAAAACAAGAAAGAACAAAAAAAAATGATTGAAGGTAGACAATTTGATCACCATGCATTTTTCTTGAGTTTGTGATGAGAGTTATGGAGGAAGAACAGCCTTTTCAGGACCTTCATAACCGCCACCACGCTAGGCTTCCTGGTCGAAAGCACATGATCACCATTTGTTTTGGTCAACTTGAAAGCTTTAACACAACCCAAGTGAAGCATCTCTCTTGACAACCCACCAGAATAGTCCGACGTCGTATTACTTCTTGACTTCAATTCTTCGTTGAAATCCTCCCAAAGCATGTCCATCTTCTCCTCCCCATGATCATGATCCCTACTCTCTTGATCTTTCTCCACCATTTTCTTGCCGCGTTCGATATACGAAAAGCTCTTTCTTCTCTGATCACAATACTTTACATTGACGTTGACGATCTCTTCTTCTTCTTCTTCCTCTTCTTCCTCGCTATGATTTTGATCATCTACTTTGGAGCTGCTGGCTGCAGGAGACAAGCGCCACAAAGGGGGTGAATCGATGGTGCAAGGGAATTTATGAGTGGGGAAGCTGAAATCTTGTGTGGCCATGGATTGGTTGATGGTATTGGAATGAAATAGAACATTAAAATGATGAATATACAGGAGTTGTTTGGTGGTGGTTGTTCCCTAAAGTTTTAGTTCAACTGCTTCTCCGGGTCACATTTCTTATTTATTTGATAAAATAGGATCAAGGGTTGGCATATTAGGGTCCCCTAGTTGTTGTATTTTCAAGGTAGATTTAATTTCTCTCAAGTGGACCCCAACACTTGCCTTAAATGGTTTTGGCACTGCTCAAATTTTAGGCACATCAAGGTTTTCTTTTCAGGTTCATTAGCAATGTAGTTTTTCTAGTTTACTCAAATTAGGATAAGACTAGAATTTCTATGTGCCTTTGTCAATGGCAATGAAACGATTTTTTTTTTTTTGGTTCAATTTGAAAGGAGCAAAAGGACATCTCATCTACCGCCGGATTGAAAGGAGGAAACACCTTCTCTTGTTTTGATATTTTCGGAACAGTGGTGTTGACTCTGGACTCACTGAAAGGGACTGCGTTGCCACTTTCTATTTTTGTAGGGGTTTCTACGCCTAAATTTCAGTTACTGCACCACCAAGTTAAACCAATTGTCTGGTACATCTCATGCAAGTCCAACTTCTAATGACAGCAATATTGGGCTGACGAGGCTCTACTTTTATTACGTGCAAAGATAGCTATGTTATTGGCCTAATTGTTTGATTTTTGTTTTTATAGAATTGATATTGGGGGACGGGTTTTCTCACGCACGTTGTTAAGGTGCCATTAAGGTTCGAACCTGGGGAGATTCATTATTATACCCAATATAGGAGCTCAAATTATAAAAAAAACCCGATATGAAATGGACTTTAAAACACACCCAAAGCCTATTTACAACATAACAAGAAAACTTTTAACTTCTTTTAAATTACAAAACTGTCATTGATTTCTTAAAACAAACTCAACCCCAAAACCTTATAAAAAAGCTCAAAACACTCAATAGGGCATCAAAGTAATTTAAAAATCAAAATTAAATTCAATAGGGTCAACTGTTATTTTTTGAGTTTTTTTTTGGATTTATTTATAGAAATTAAATGGTGTAGGGTTTATTTATAGTTTTAGTGCTAAGAATGGCTCATAGGTTTTTGCATACTGGGATATAGGTTAAAGAAAACATGTTTGGCTGTTAGGAAAGTGAGGAATCAACAAAGAAAAGATAAACAGGTGAGATGATCAAAGACTCTCATGCTTTTATTAGTTTTTTTATTTCTACACACAAGTGATATTAGGAAGGGGGGATTCAAACCCCTTGCTCACGCCTTTA